AGAGCCTCGCGCAGCGCCAGGCCCTGCTGCCAGCCCCGGCCACCTAGCCTGCCGCCTCCGCAGGCCTGAGGCAGGGGAGAGGGGTCTGCAGCCGGGACCTCATCGTTCTTCTTCCACGAGGAAGAAGTTTGAAAGATGGAGGGAAACAGCACGGTTTGGGGTGAAGAGACCACAGCGATTTTTGGAGGGAAGAAGGTGGTTCTGGTTCTCTTCATGGGGATTCTTGGGGGTGTGGGGTGCTGCTTCGTGTGCAAACCTGCCGGTGTAATGTGCGGTTCTCACGTGGAGCCTTGCAGGGGTGCAGATTAATCCTGCTTAGATGCCCATTATCCATGTGACCATCTTATCTCAGCGTAGTGTGAATTTGGGCAAGGCTATTCCAGAGGGAGAGCAGCAATTGCCCTTCTGCCAGGGGCACTGGGAGATTTTATTTATTCGTGTTTGCCGGGAATTCCAGAAAGCAGCAGAGAATAGATGGTGTTAATGGCAAGGCATCCTCCGGGCGCACAGAGACACCTGAAAGAGGCTATTGGTGAGAAAGCTGTTGGCTTTGTTTGCTCGTTGGCCATTTGCTGTCTCATGGAATCACTCGTATTACCTCTTCCAGAGGGGAAGAGGCACTGGGCAACCCGCTTGGTGAGGGACTGTGCTCCTTTCCAAATGCCATTGCTTTCAGCCAGCCACAGCGGTGAATCCGTGAGTTCTTGTCACAGGCTTTGCAGGAACAATTCACGGAGGCCGTGGCCAGGTTGAGTTCGCTCCAAAAGTCTGCTGAATGTTAGATATTTTATGAATATTGTAAAGAACAGAGCTGCAAGTCAGAGAAGAGGATGGGGGTTATGTACATCAGTAAGTGGAACAACTTGATAGAGTTTTACTGTGTGATCCAGCCTTGACTGGCACCTCGGGGGTGGAATCGACTTCGGTGCTGTCAGGATTTTAGAGTTGTGCGTTCCAGGAGTTTGTTTGTCTTTAGAATGATTGCAGATTTTGGTAAAAGATTTGCTGGAATTTGAAGGATAGAGCACAAGTGGTTAGTTGTTATCCTTCATGTAAACTCTAAGCCCATGAAAACTAAGTAATTCCGTTACAAAACACACAGTTCCTTCTAATTGCACTGTTGCACAGATAAAGCTGATGAGTTTGGCATTTGTAGAATCCTTACTTTCCGTAACATAAAAATAGAGTATAAAACTACCTGCTGACTTAAGAAGAACAAGTTACATGGCTTTTTTTGCTTGTGTGCTGACCTCAAATCCCAGTTCAATATTATGGGTGCACTTGGTTTTGTTGTGTGTTTGGTGCTGGGATTGAGTATTTTTTTTCAAATACTTGTGGTTGGTACATGTATTATGGGTGCACTTGGTTTTGTTGTGTGCTTGGTGCTGGGATTGGGTACATGTGGATTTGCAGACATGTAAAGAAAATGAGACTTCCAAATCACTTGGCTTGTCGGTCTCTGTCCCAGCCCGTGGAGCGGGTCTCCTGCATGTGTGCACGCCAGAAGTGATATGTATGTGCTGGTATAGGAACAGGTTATTTGGATGCCATTAATTTGTGGAAGGAACATCCTGGAGGAAGCGAGAGGAATGATGGATGTTCTGCACGTATGGATGACTCCAGAATGCGGGCAGTAGTAGACAGACTGATCCTGCCACTGCTGCTGATAACCCCTTTTTTATTTTCCTTTAAGCAGGTGGTTCACATGCACATAAATGGTTACATACATACGTGCACAGATACACAAACTGAGGTTCTTTTTCTACCTATTATTTTCAAACTCCAGAAATATTTGATGTGCATTAGAGGGTATATGACTTCTTTGAATTTAGTTTAATCTAAGAGTCTTTTATAGGCTAAGAAGACAAATTTATTTATAATTGCAAACAACTAATACTTGTTTTCTCAGGGCTTTTTCTATAGATGTTCCTCCTTGACCCGTCAGCTGGTGCTCTGCCCGCTTTGTGCTGCTCGGTTGTGTTTGCCACCAGCCTCTCCTTTCTTTGAACAGTGTTAGCAAGGGGTGCCCTGGTGCTCAGCACAGTTCTTCTGGTCCTTTCCCACTTCATCTAACCGTATCTTGGCTGCATGGCATTGGTGACGTGCATGGTGCCAGGAGGATTTCCTTTGGCTGTACCACCCAGCTCTAACGTTTTCGGTATGCTGTGTGCATTAGAGGTGTTGAAGCACATGTGGAATTACCTTTGTGTTTTCTGCTTGTTGTTTCTTTTCCCAGTAAATGAGTGTGCAGTTGTTCATGTGCCTAGCACTTGCAGTATAGAGTATTTGAAAAGGTAGGTGGTTGTTGTCCTCAGCAGCCGCAGGATGGAAGGGCTGATGCTGGCGCCGGTTCGAAAGCTGCTCCCGGGCCTTCCTTGGTCCCCGCGAGGTCGGAGCTGAAGGCCGGGCTCGCGCAGCCCATTGCGGATGGACGTCGGGAGCAGGGCTGGGGTTCCGGCTCTGGGCCGCCCGGCCCGGCCGAGGGGTGGCCCTGCCGCGGGTGCCACGGCGCCGGGGGCAGCCCCGCGCCTCTGCGGCGTTTCTGCGCCCCGTGGCCGCGTCCTCAGGTGCCGTCGCTGGGTTGCAGACAGCAAATCCACCTGAACCTCTTTAAGAGAAGCTAAAGCTCCTCGCAACAAGCAGGGCAGGGCCTGTCTGTCTCGGCAAGGCTCCGCGGGCGCCAGCAGCCAGTGTCCCGGTGACACCGTGGTCCCGGTGGCACCGCGCCGGTGGCACTGCGCGCGAGGGAGCGGACCCGGCTCTCGAAGCCTGCGCCACCCTGCTGAAGCCACGGAGTGGGTTAGCAGCAGCTTTAATTCGGGGAAAACGGTTGCCTCTCAGTCCTAGCCTGGCCTGTTACTCAACTGCCGGGCTAAATAGTGCTGTGCTCCCGTTTTTCTTTTTTTCCTTCCTTTTTTGTTTTCCCTTTTCTGTTTAAATCTAACCTGGTATAGGTAATCAGCCTGGGTGATGGCAGTATAGGGTAGCCACAAGCTGGTTGCACTAGAGCACTCTTTCTGAATTTGATGCTTGTGTAATTAATAAGTTTTCTTTGTCTCCCTTAACTCTGCTGTTGTCCTTCTCTGTCCTGGCTGTGTCGGTTGATGACAAGAAGGAAGAAAGCAGCAAGTGGTGAAAATCGTGTTAAAATCTGCCTGGTGTTTCACAAGAAGTTTGTTCCTGCAGCCTCATCCCTGCAAGTGTTGCAAGCTCAGCCGCAGATGGCGATCTGAGGCATTCCTTCCGAGAGAATCACGCTCATTTCTAGGGTTTTAGTGTGATAGTACTAACGTCTCCTCCCCTGATAGGAGAGCGTGTGGCGAGGGAGCTCCTAGGAGTCCCACGCTGCTGATGAGGAGCAGCGATGCCAAGGGGCAGACTGCCTGGCACGGTCACAGCGTCAGGCTGAACGAGCAGAACGCGGTCCCTGCGTTTGGCGGTGAGTGCTCGCTAGTGGCACAGGAGCAGATGCTGAGCTGTGAGCGAGATGCCTTTGAGCAGAGCGGGAGCGAGCAGGCGGGTTCACGTGCCGCGGGGCGCTCCCGAGCTCGGAGCGCGCGGATAGGGAGCTGGCAGCCCTGCCCGGGACGCCGGCCCGTTCCTAGGCACTCGCAATGCCAGGGGCTGTCTCCTGGCGTGTCCCCTCTGTCAGTCAGCAGCATTTCTGGTGACTCAGTGTTAGCCTCGGCCGGGGTTTGGCAATGCTGCTCTTTGGGATTGCTGACCATATTCTTATCTTCTGCTCCCGAGTTTTCCTTCCCTCCAGAGCCTGGGATTTGCAGAAGCAGAGAACAGTCCTTGGGGCTGCAGAGAGCATTTGTGGCTGGGCTCCTGCTCTTCCAGCACCGCCTAGGCCAACTTTGGTGTTGTGGGAATGAGGAAATAGGAACTATTTAAAAATTTAATAATAACTAATCAAGGGCATTTGTTGCCCCATGTAGGGATGGGGTAGGAGTGGGGAGGGAGATGAGTTCCACTGTTTTCTCTTTCCTTTTTCCCCCTCTCCGTTCCTTTTCCGGAGACACCGCTCCGGTGGGCGCTCCGCGTGGGCGCGCGGGGCCGGGCGGCCGGCTC